GCTCTGCTGACCCCTAGACCTGTGATCTGAAACCTTGGGCTTTTTGCCCACACTGCCTGAACCCGAAACCGCCTCCGGTTTCCTCTTCTTCTCCATCTCGAGATCAATCTCCCTCTCCTAGCTCTGGCAATCATGTCGTCCAGCGTTTTACAACTGGACCGGCTCACAAACATGCGGATGTCACTCCGCAGCATCTCATGATAACGGGCCTTCTTCATCTCCTCATCGGCTGCATACTGAGGAACAAGAAGAGCCCTCTCCCTGAACTTGGCGGTGATCTCCGCCACTGTCTCTGTAGTCTGGGTAAGGTCCTGAAACTCCCTAGCTAACTGCTGCACCTCAATGACTGGTGCAAACTCCACCCTGAACCTGGTAGAGAAATCAGCCCAGGTCATGGCATCCAATGCCGCATCATCCCCGATGGCATGTCCGACCTCCTCCCCACCAGTCTCGTGCCCTGTCCTTCAGAAGACAGGACGCCAATCTGACCTTGTCCCCCTCGGGACATCTGCTAGTGCGGAATGCGTTGGCCACATCCGCCAACCACCTGGTACTCGCTATGGGGTCCCGTGCCCCATGATAGTCAGGAGCCCCCGCATGCCCTGAACTCCCTGAACGTAAGTGTGCGCGACCCCATCACGGCCGCCATCTCGGCACGGAAAGTACTCAATCTCTCATCCATCAGCTCTAAAATACCCTCCTTGATCGAACCGAAGATCACAGGAGTCTGCTCTAGTATGATGCGGGTAACCTCAGAAGAAAGGAACTCCCTAGTCTGCTCATCCATCTGCCCGCCTCCGGGCCTGATCCCGATCCTGATCCCCCTCCGGCATCTGAACTGCCGGCTGCTGGCCTCGGACGCAAAACTACCATTCTGAAACATATCATAACAACATCAGAACACTGAAATATCTCAAGGGATCATGATACTACTACTAGCTTCCTGGTCTTGTCTTGGCCTTCCTTAATTCGAGTACGGATCCTCTGCTTTCAGTAGTATGGGCCCCTACTACCTTCCACATCTATCCGTACTTTCCTCAAGAACTGCCTTGACTCCACCAAGTCACTTCTACTACTGCCATTCTCTGCTACTCTCATCCTAGGCTTGCCCTAGGAAACTTCAAGCTCAACGCGACTGGTCCTCAGCTGCTGTAGGTCTCCTCATAATGCCAGTTAGCCACCACCTAAACACCATCACATGTGATGAGGATCAGATAATCCTTCAAGTAAAAGATCCGTCCCTACAACGGTTGGACTCAAACAAGAGCTGCGCAGTAGAGCCAGTTCCAGCACTCTGATTATTCAAACCTGATCACATGTGGTGTGACGTGTTCACCTAATGGCTAACTCCCACTACTCAGAACCCCACTAAGCACGAAGCAAGCACATTCGGACACGGGAAATAGACTCAGGCAAAACTATTCTTATAACAAGAAACTGCACTAGCATAGGATGCTAAGCTCATACTATCAGGCATAACCTAAACAGGCTATCCTACTGCTGTCTACTCAATTCTAGCATGCAATACTCATAAAGCTGTAACACATAAGCAGGCACATAAGGCATTATCCTAGATCCTTAGCCCTATACTAGCATGCTGTTCTACTGAAACTGAAACTGAACAAATAACTTGTATGGGTAATTTGGGAGTACTTACTTGAGCTCGGCTGACCGCATGCACACACCTCTATCTTGTTAAAAACAATTCTTTCTTTCCAAGTGCTTTCAAAATTCTTTTTGTAAAACATTTTTATTTTACTAAAATCTTTTATTTCCCTTAGTTTGAGTTCAGATACACCCGGAAGGTGTATCCGAATCCCTCAAACCAGGGCTCTGATACCAACTTGAAACGACCCAAAAATACGACCCAAAATTTTTCATTTTTCAATATAATCTAAACCGTAATATAAGTATCATAACATAAAACATACGCGATGTATCCCCAAAACATATAAAATATTGTGCGGAAAACTGTATCATACAACATCAATCCAAAACATCAAAAGACATCCCCAGGATAAAAGCTATGCGTGGTGTGTGCGATGCTGTCACCCCGAGCTCTTCCCTTTGCTTGCGGAAGTACCTGAAACCAAACTGAAACTGTAAGCACGAAGCTTAGTGAGCTCCCCCAAACTACCACATACCATACAATAACATATAAACACATATTGGGCCTTGCCCACTGCATCGGGCCGAAGCCCGGAAACTGCATCGGACCGAAGTCCGGAACTGACTGGGACCTTGTCCCCTGCATCGGACCGAAGTCCGGAACTAACTGCATCGGACCGAAGTCCGGAACTGACTGGGACCTTGTCCCCTGCATCGGACCGAAGTCCGGAACTAACTGCATCGGACCGAAGTCCGGAACTGACTGGGACCTTGTCCCCTGCATCGGACCGAAGTCCGGAACTAACTGCATCGGACCGAAGTCCGGAACTGTCTGACTGAACATGGCATCGCATAACACATCAACTAGCATAACACATATACGACATGCTACATCGGGCCGTGGCCCGGAACACATAGTACTTAACACATAAAACATAGCACACAAATCCTGTTCGAACCACGAAGGCATCGAACATACAACTACTGCATCGGACCTAAATCCGGAAACTACTGCTAACTGAACGGGCCGGCATTGTGGCCTTAGACCCGTTCCTACTGGAAGGAAACTCACCTCGTAAGCTGGCTGCTGAGTGTGTGGCTCGGAAGCTAACGGCGGCTGCTCCTGAATCTCCTCGGCTACAAGTCCATAAACACACTCAATCAAATACTAAACACTGCGCTTGGGGTAAAATGACTCTTTTACCCTTGGTCAAAGTCAACTCTCCTTTGGGCTGACTCGCCGAGTTGGGCCACCCAACTCGCCGAGTCCTACTCTCACTTTTCCCTTTTACTCACTGCTACTCGTCGAGTCTGGCATTGACTCGACGAGTACCCTCTTGATCCAAGAACTCAGACAATCTTCATCCGACTCGCCGAGTCGTATGAACAGACTCGACGAGTTGTTCTTGATCCCAAGAAGATTGCCTTGGACTCGCCGAGTTGTATGAACAAACTCGTCGAGTCCCTCCATCACTGAGTCTACTCTCAACTCGCTGAGTCCACTTCCTGACTCACCTCGTCCACTCGACACTGATAAAACTGAAGGACTCGGGACTCGCGACCCGACTCGTCGAGTCGTTCTTCCGACTCGCTGAGTCGCCGCCATGCAACTGATTTTTACTTGATTTTGTTTGAATCCAATGCATACAATTGATAGATCTGAGTCCAATAAGCTGTTTTACCACGTAAAGTTTCCAACTTTACGTGCACAACCTCATGAATAAGGGAAATAAGGCTAAAAGATGCATAAAATGGGTAGATCTATGGTTATCATGCAATATAACTCCAAAAAGACAGTAGATCTGGGCTCTACAACACCCCAACATTCAGATCCATAGATATATCGACTTAATAAGACGTTCATGCAAGTGTAAGGCTTGAAACAAGCACCAACTAGCTCTTAGGAGAGCCCTAATGGAAGTTTAAAGCATATAATAAGATGGAACTCCGAAAATACCTCAATAAACTCTGATTTGGCCTTGGATCTTTGCACTACAACCCTTCTCCTTGCTTCTTTCTTCTTCTCCTTCTTCACACCTTCACAAAGAGGGCACCAAAACACATATAAGCTCTTCAATGGAGGTTTGGGGCTCTATCACTGCGTTCTCAGGGTGAGGGAGGCGAGAATGGGGGCTATAAGGTGGTATAAATAGTGGGCAACCCGGGGAATTTAGGGTTTCACCCAGACAGATGGACTCGCCGAGTCAGGGATATGGACTCGCCGAGTCCCCGGCTCACGCGTGCCCTCAGGCGCGACCCTACTCGGCGAGTCAGGCTAGAACTCGTCGAGTCCCTCTTGAAAAACTCACTATAATTACCAATAAATCAACATACCGGGAACGGGTCGTTACATATCAATTTGTTGGGCTTGCAAGTCAATTAGAGCTTTATTGGGCCTATTAGGCCCACTAGAATATCATTAGTCAATTAGGGTTTGCATTGAGTCAATTTGAGTCCATTAGACCCATTAGGGTTTTCACTAAGCCCATTAGGGTTTCTAGCACCCTAAACGAATCAATCACAACGAATCAATCACAACGAATCAATCACAACGAGGAAAAGCTCACCGCCACCCGACATGGCGGCTAGTGGTGGCAGGAGGCGGCAGACACCACCCTACGGTGGTGGTTTGGTTTTTCCTTTTCACTGTACCGATTGGTTACAATTACAATTCCCATCCGATAATCACACTAACACCCTAATCTAATTACAAACACACATACTAACTACATCAACACACACACACATAGTGGCTTATGGTGGCAGCTACCACCTCACGGTGGTGGTGAAGCCTTGTACTTAGAATTCCGGCCAAACACACACTACTGAAATAAACACACACACAAAATTAACCCATACATCAGCATACACAACCGCTATGGCGGTCCTTCAGGTGGCAGCCACCATGGCCGGCAGCCATGGTGGTTCTTCACAGCTCCCATTCGACAAAAACCACATACACACACACACAATCTCACTGCAAACCACAAACCGCAGTCACCAACATGAGATGAAATACCGAGAACAAACCCATCCTTGCAACACACGACTGAAACACATGTACAACAGCCACCCTCGGGGGTGGTGGATGTTGACCGGAGTTCAAAATAAGAGTCTTGTGAGCGGCAGCGACAGAACGAAGAGTAGAGGGGGTGAGATCCTTCACCAAGAGTGATAACATCGACTGAAATCGGTGTGTTTCTTCCATCCCGACAGTGGCCAACAATGGCGGAGCTTGACAGCAACGCAACGTGACAGCAATAAAGACAGCATAGTAACCGACGACTAGGAGGAACGAAGGCACGACGGTTGAGAAAACAATAACAGCAACCACGACATCAAGGTTCAATCCCATCACCAAAGTTGTGATGGCAGCCGTTGGGTGGTTCAAGGCGACGGCGAAAGGGGTTAGCGGCGACTGCAATATGGAGGGATAAGGTGGCGACGACTGAGAGATCACTAGGGTTAGGGTTTGGGAATGGTTGCATTCAAAATGAAGGGGACGAGGGAAGTAGCGGCTTAAGTCCCGATCCATATGAAAGTTTGACACATTTTTACAAGTTTGGCACCTAACTTCACAATCTAATTCTGATAAAGTCCCATATTTATGCTACAACCCTTGCTCTACAAAATTCCTTTCAATACAAGTCTTAAAATTACCAATCAGCCCCTAGCATCCAAGATTCATAACAACTTAAGTCCCATAAGTTACCATTTAGTCATTGCCTACGTAAATACTCACAAAAACCAATTCTAAACTTCCACTTTTAACCCCCAACTTCAAAATTATGCCGTGTGGCTTCCTAAAACCAACACCCCACTAACCATTTAATTATTCTATTTAAAACGGGGTGTTACAAACCTGAAGCAGAAAGGAGTTTTTATCCATACAGCGCTGACTCGTCGAGTTCATATCCTCAACTCGGCAAGTTCAAGTTAAAAAATGCAACTATTCTGCCAGTTACGCTACAACTCGACAAGTCACTCATTCTTCAATTTTTGAGTTCACGATTTGAGCATATTTGATACGGGCATTAGTCATATTCCTTGAAGATTATTTCCAAAATATTTCCAAGAGTTTTTCTTCTATATTTGGAGCTGTCAACCACACGAGATTTGATACCCAAGGCATGGATGAGATGTTCCCATGCCGAAGTCAACAGAAGATGGAGTTTTACATGAAGACGATCAACCTCACAACTACTATCCCAGTGGAGTTTGTTCTGATTCCCTTTTTATTTTATTATTCTTTATCAGGCATAATATGCAATAGAGACATTACATAAACTAAGTGTGGGGTAGGGGTTGGTTACATTTAGTCAAATTTAGAATCGAAGGTTGATTTTTAAATTTTTTTACATAAACATTGCTAGGGTTTAATTTAGAAAATTTTGGTAAAAGCAATTAGGGTTCATGCTAGTATTATGTTTGATGATTGTATGATGACCTAAATATTTAGTTGAGCCTATACACGTTATAATGTATTTGTGGCCCCTTTATTCTAGTGAAATCATGGGACAAAAACACAACCTCGCTTAGTTTGAGGGACACAACATGTTTAGCATCGTGTACTTGAAATGTATCCAGGAAGACTAGTAACTTTAACCAATAAGGGTTGACGTTAAGCTCCCTTGCGTAAGCATGTAGGGATTGAGTGAAAAAAAGTGAGATATAAAAAAAGGGAGAGAAATTACCAAAAAGTTGGAAGAGTTTTGGAGCCATAAAATAATAAAATTAAAGATCAAAATTTTAAAGAATCCAAAAAGTTGAAGATACCAATTTTTTTTTAAAAAAGGTGGTGAATTCAAGAAATTAAAGATCAAATGTTCAATTAAGTGAAGAATTCAAAGAGCTCCATTATGGTCTCAAAAGTGTCATTTTCTGGATTATTTGTGCTTGGGTAGTTTAACCAAAAATACCTTGAGGTAAAGAGAGTTTTTTGCGGATGGATTCAGAGGGATGCATAAAATGAGCGTTGTTCAAAAGAAGTTGGCGAGTGTTTATGAGGATTGTAAGTATATTTAGAATTAGGGGGGTCCTTAGGAAAATTTTAAACACAAATGCATGTGTTGCGGTCTTGGCATAATGGTTGGGTTTGATTGGGATTGTCTTATGTGGTATTAGAGTGTTAAAATCCAGTTTTGTTTGTGGGCAAGCAAAAGTCAAGTGTGTGGTATTATGATATGTGCATATTTAGTTACATATTTTGTCTAAAATCTTGACACTTTTTGGTTATTTTGTCCTAAATATTGAACAAAAGGTACTTAATTGAGTTTAAATTGTATTTTCAGCCTAAAAGGCATGCTCGAGTTAAAAAGGAAGCGCGATTAGCAAACGGAAGATCGGGGAACAAAGAAATAAGAAAATGAAGCTAAAAGAATGAAGAACTCAACGAGTTGGCCATCTACTCGCCGAGTAGACACAAATATTCGCAAACACTTAAAGACTTATTGCCCACGGGATTTAAGTGACAGACTCGTCGATTAGGTCTATGGGACTTGACGAGTCGCCCCTGTTTTCAGAAACTTATATATATGACATAATATGCCAAAACAAGGACTTCTTCTGGATCCCTTGGCGACTTAGCGGCGATTGAATGGTTATTGAAGCTTTGAGTTTTAAGATTTTACCCTAGAGTTCGATTTGAAAGAGATTAAAGGCAACATATACTATCTTCTTCTTAATCTATCGCACAAAACTATGTTTTTACTTATGGATTCCGTTTTTGAGATATTATTTGCTGTAAACATGAGCAAAAACTCATAACTTTTGTTTAGGGTAGAGTAGCTTGTTAATATGGATTGATTTTATGGTATGGATTATTTGATTTGGTGAAAATTGTTTTGCTAAGCTTGCAATCGATCCTTATGTGTTGATAATAACTGTTTTTCGGTTAATTATCAAGTCTATTAAGTTGCATGAACATCCTCTTAATTACTTGTTTCATATGATTTTTGTGAAAACAATGTTATATGACTGGTATTAGTGAATATGAACATAGGATTAATAGAAAACAGGTAAGTAAATGTGTAAGCTTGTGTGATGAACAACCATACAAGATGTTGATTAAATTAGTCATTTAATTAGCTATAACTATAAGTCTTACTTAAGCCGAATCAAAATACTAGGAAATTCATTTGTTTAACCAATTGGCCATTCTTTAAATTGATTTGTTTTCTAAAGATTAGTAATAGTGAGCATGAGCCTAATCACATTAATCGGTAGCCAATGACAAAATAATCCATTGCACTTTCCATAAAATCAACTATAGAAACAAGTAAGTCGAACCTAAACCGAAGTCTCTTTTATTATTGAATCTAGTCATCTTCAATTTCCTTAGCTGTTAGTTATTTCTGTTTAAGCATTAGTGAATTGTTAAGTTTCTAGTCTTGAAAAACTAGAGAAAACCCCTTCTTTTTATTATTTGTTTAAATTAGGTAATTTTAGTAATTAGTTTAATTGTTACCGTTCGTGTGTTTGATACCTTGCTTGCTTGAACTATATTGCTAAACGATAGGTACATTGTCTTTTGTGTTTTTATTTGTGTTTGAAGTAGTAGGATTAAAACTAGTGCATTTTGCACACATCAAAGATGTTGAATTGTATCTCCATCCCACATGGGATAAGAAATGAAACAAAAGAAAGGATCCAAGGCTATAAATAGGGCTATAGGGAACTCATAATTCCTTGCACCATGGCTTGAGATTTTCACCTAATTTTTCCCTATTTTCTCTAGGGAAAATTTTCTTAACCCTTTTAGGATTAAAAGTAATTTGACCCTCTCCTAGTTTTCTATTTGTTCTCTCTTTGGAGTCATTCGGTGTGATTCCATTATAGGGGTTCTACTTTGGGTTCTATCATCCAAGCAACATGGCTGGATCAAGAAGGGATCAATAAGGTTCAAGAAGGAGCCATGAAGATCATGATTCGTTTTCCTCTCTGTTTGCTAGTGTCAAAATTTGGACCCTCAAAATCCCAAATCGTCCGGAAAAATGTTTTATGCACCCCGGGATTCATTTTGAAGGTTGAAAAAGATATTTTAACACATTTATAACATTAAAAATCAAAAACTTCCAAGAAACTAAAATGTTTTAAAGGAAAAGACATAAATACCATCGGGCTGTCACCCGGTTCGCCGCCCTTGTTTTAAGTCATTGACTCGACTTGGCCCCTTCAGTTTGTTATTCTTTGAATGTGGGGGCTGTCCTACTCAATAAACTTCTTACTACTTCCTCAAATAGGACAATTGTCTTGTACCTGACTTTCTTTTTCTTGGGAACCATACTGGACTTAGACCCTTGATAACAACAATCATCCAATCGACCCATTTATTGTACTTATCCGATAAGGTGATCAACACTTCTTTGATAGGGTGGTCGAGTTGATGACCGGTTTGGTGTCTTCCTTCTCGAGATACGTATCTTTTGAAGGGTCCAACAAATTTATCGTTTTCGACTCTTGTGATTGGTTTAACAGTGAAAGGATTTTTCATTAGTAGTGGGTAGCTCAACCTCTCTTTAGTCAACCTCCAACACCTCCTCTACAACTTTATTGACAACCTTATCCACTTCTACTTTTTCCTTCTTTTTTCACCGTCTTCAAATTGCAATCTTGGGTCATCAAAAACTTTCTTATCGTTCAAGGTGATGTCAGAAATGGTATGCCTTGGGTCCACTTTAGTTTGCGATGGTAATTCACCTTGAGTAAGTTATGCAATTTGTTTCTCTAAGCTTTTGAGGCTAGCTATGGTTGTTTCTTGGAAGATTTGGGTAGCAGTGACAATGTTTTTCACAATGTCTTTCAAGGACATGCTTGACGTTTCAATTTGTTAAGGCGGTCGATGATATGATTATTGGAACTATAGAGTTGGTTGGTATTGATCATTTCCCCAACCTTCGTATTCGTTGTTTCCCCAAACTTGGTTGTTGTCATGCCATTGATCATGTTGATTTTGATCATAACTCCACTAATTTGGCCAATGGTAACTTCCCTTTTTTGCACTTCTTCCCAGTCTCTTTGTAAATATGGACACATGTCGGTATGATATCCATTTTGAGTGCAAAAATCGCAAGGAATAGGTGTGGGTTGCATACTTTGGTCATTTCTAATCATCATAACTAACTGGCCTAACTCAAAAAGTTGATCTTTAATGTAAGGAGTATTCATTTCTGAGCTACACTTTTTTTTTATAGAGATGTACATGTTCACAAAAATCTTGGCATAAACAATTAGTAACATCGTGTCCCCGACAACAATGCCAATTTTTTAGGTGTATCAAACCCAACATATATTAGGGGTACAACATGCTCCAAATACACTACTTTAATTCGCTAAAAAATAATACAAGGTAAGCAGGGTCGAACCACAGAGACACGGGACAATCAATCTATATCTCTTTGCGCAAGGTACTTTGGTCACCAAAAGTAAAAGGGGGGAGGGGGGTTGTAAACGATAATTCAAGTAAAAGATCGAAGAAAAAAGAAAGAGATTAACTAATTGAAATAGACTCGAAAATTATGAAAGACTCCAACTCTA